TGTAATGTAGAAATTTTTAATAAAAATTAAAAAATGTTACAATTAGAGTTTAAATCTAATTCATTAATTCTGTTATATTAAAATTTTTATTTTCATAATATAAAAAACAGAATAAATATTTAAGTGGCCACATTAGCTGAGGCACCCTGTATATGAATTTCAACTTTCTGTGTAATTGGCTGAAAAGTGATCCGAGCTATTCTCGCGTAGTTTTTGTTTTTCACCATTGTCGAACGATCGACGAACCGAGAAGCTGCTCGTTTTCGGTTCGGCTAGAGTCAAGAATGAACACTGGCCTTGATACCAGAGTGCCAGCAGAAACTACGAAACATAAGACTAAAATATTTCAGTACGCGGGCATGGTCCCTGTGCGCACACCCGACTGGGTGCATTATTGACTGTGTGCCAGACAAGGCTTGATACGCGCGAAATTGCTCCGCTACAGGTCTCCTTCGCTGCGCCTCGCGGAGCTTCAGCCTCCCTTAAAGGGGGATGTACCGGTTAGGTGAGCAGAGCGCGCACGTATTTAAAGTCGCGGTATCGACGCGTGAAAGGCGGAACAATGTCGAGACCTTCGATTTTTACGCTATATACCTACGCGAGGATTTGTGGAACGTCAAGGGAGAAATAGGTTCCTGTTCATAGTAAAAATAGTTCACAGGGTGGAGGACGGCTGAACTCGCTACGCTGGTTTCGACGAAATAAATGATGACACGATTATTCTTCTTTTCTTTCGAACAATTTGATTCAATTTTAATTATTAACAAACTCTAACCGGATTAGTTAATTAAATAATGGGTCAGGTTGGGGACAAGAAATAAAATAGAATATTAAAAATTGCTGAAATTATTTGAACTCTTTTTATTTGATTCTAATTCCATCTAGTTTTGCTTAAAAATAGTCCAAAAGATGAAGGTTGAATTCGCTAGACTGGCTTCATCGAAATAAATGATGACAGGATTATTTCTCTTCTTCTTTATCGAACAATTTGATTCAATTTGAAACTTGGAATTTTTAACAAATTCTGAGAAAGCAACAGTTAATTTATTTTAAATCAATTTGGAGAACAGGAAATAGAATTGCTGAAATTATTTAAATCGCATTCTATTCGATTCTAATTCCATCTGATTCCGCCGCAGTGTTTCGCTGACTGTAGGCTCGGTTTGCAATAACGTCATCAAGCTTGAAAACGATCCGGCGAATAAAAATATATTGAGGAACGCACGAAACCCGAGTTAATTAAACGCGAGTCGCGAGATGACCATAGAGAACCGAGGCTCGTATTATAGGTCGATTAAGAGTCAGCTTCGAGCCGAGCTCAGCACGATGATACTTTTCAAGTAACCTTGCCGTCATTATCTAACCAGGAAACGTCCTATTGACTAATATTGTTTGCGATACCATTATTATATCATCGCCGAGGTGGTCATTATTGCGCAACGTCTTACACGCAGATCCTAACAGAAGATTCCAGTTTCGGCTCACCTTTGATAACAATCAAGAGTAATATCGCAAACATTACAAAATGAATAAACTGTCTTAGAGAATGATTGAGCCTGAATCTCTAGTTTGATATTTAAGTCACTGTACAATAATCGAATATGCAGCAATGTTTATAAAAAATTAGTGGGGGTTTCAACTTTAAAGAAAAAGAATTTAGAAATTGTTTTAAAAAATGATTGAGTTAGAATCTGCAGTTTCATGTACGAGTGTACAAGTTACATAAGAATCGAATATATAAAGTATTTAAAAAAGACAGGAAAGATTTTATAAATATTATAACAAAAATTGAGTCAGGTGTCTATCGCGCATTAACAGCTATTGGTACGTCCGGGCCATTTACCACTAACCCGCGCGCGCCCCACTCCGTCGATCGGCAGTGGGTGATTTCCGCTTTTCCATCGGTCCCGTTGAATGCCAAGAACGCCGCGTTCGTTCGATCTCGCGCGCGGATTGCCCGTGACCCCGGCTGCACTTTCCGCGCTCAACCCCCGGCGGCCGCCGCGCGCGGGGAAGGAAAATTACGATCTCGCCTCACCTTCGCCTCGCCACGGTTCGGTTCGGTTCGCTCGCCGGCAATGCCAGCCAACGACCTTGGCCTTGCCCGAATAAGACTCGGCCTTGGCTGCTGGCGGACGATCGATGCGCGACCGTCACCGCCAGCCGCTGCGATGCAACACGCTCGTAGTGCTGCAGCCAAGCCGGGGGAACTGGATACGTATTGTAAGCAACTAAGTACGCGAACGGACTCTGTTCTCGTTCTCACGTGTTCCCGGTTTAGACGCATCGCGTGCGTCGCCGTTCGACCGACGACGACGACGACGTTGCGGTCGCATCACGAAATCCGTGTCACGCGTCCCGACGCAACGGTGCTGGGGTCTTCTGGTTTTAGAGATCCACGCCCCGCGTCCACACGATTTCGTCGCTTTGTGCAAGCTCCCTACGTGACTCATCGCGCGTCGCTGGCATCGCACCTCGCGAATTCGCTGCCAACAGTATCCTCTTCTTAACAAAACGATCTAATAGGTAGATGAATACTGGCACAAGGTCTTAAATAATATACACTACAGGAATATAAGGATACATTTATTCAATAAAACACAAAAGATTTCTTAAGGATGTATTGGCTATACAGTCAATCTCAAAAGTTTATGTACTTTAGAAAAACGCATTTCCTATAATTAAAAAGAAATCAGACGTCGGAGGAACAATGCTAAAAATAAATCGCTACGTGCTAAATAGTATAGAAGGAAATATTCAATTAATTATTGACGCTGGTGAAAAGTTTTTTATTCAGAAATTGTAGGCACTGACATCCTCTACAAAGAAAGATTCTATGCATTTTCCTTCTAATTTCGATATTTAACGAGTTACGTATGATTATTTGGCATTTTATTGATGTTGATAAAATCCGACCATCCCACCGTCGAAATGGCGAACTTTTGGCAAAAAATTTCGTTTTTCCTCAATAACTCCTAAACCCTTGGAGATACGGGAAAATTGCATACGACGTTTCTTGTAGAGTACGACGAGATCTACAATTTCTGTATAAAAGTTTGTCGCTAGCGTTAATAGTTTACGAGTTATTGACGAAAAACTAAAAAACAGTTTTTTGCAAATTACTCGTTAACTATTGACGCTAGCAAGAAACTTTTATACAGAAATTGTAGATCTCGTCGT